GAGCACAGAAAAGCTTTAGTGCCTAAAACAGTCCTAGCACTTGGCACATGTAATAAAAACACATCCTGGGATCTCAGGCAATAGCTACTTGCCACTCTCTGTGAGATCAAAGAGCATATATGAGTTGGTAGTTTACCCAACATGGCTTTATAGGTAAACATGTACCAATGACTGAGCCTCCGTACAGTTAGTGAAGGCAAACCTGCCTTGGCATACAGGGTATAGTGATGAGTAAGTGCTTTACAGTTAGTAACAAATCTCAGTGCGCTTTGATAGGCGGCATCTAACTTGTTCAGGCAATAGGCAGGTGCATTCATATACAACAAATCATCATAGTCGCAGAAAAAGGTCACAGTGACTAGCCTTTTCCTGGCCTCAAGCGAGAAACAGGACTTGTTTCTAAAAAAGAAACCTAATCCAACCCTCAGCTTTTTAAGCAGGTTATTGACATGAAGTTTAAAAGTAAGACAATCCTCAAGCCATATACCTAGGTATTTATAACAGGTAACCACTTCTAGTACTGTCCTTGCATAGTAACAATATCCAAAGCAGTCTCTGGAGTCTTTTTTGCTTTTGAAAAAAGCATTACCTTGGTTTTCTCAACATTTAAAAGAAGCTTATGCTCAGCGAGCTGAGTCTGAATAATGTTAAAAACAGCCTGTAATTTAACACCAGCCTCCTTAAATGAGGGACCTGCACAGTACATCACGGTATCGTCCGCATAAAAATGCAAAGTACGGTAGCTTCATCCACATTTTCACCTAAACTGTTGATATATATAGTGAATAAAAGTGGACCTAAAACAGAACCTTGAGGAACACCATTAGCAATGTTCAACCACTCAGTGAGCCCATCAAAGTGACCACATTGGGATAGAAAATGACAATGAATTCATTAAATATTTAAAAATGAATCGTTAATAGTGTCAGTGATCAATGTATGTAATGATGTAGATACCCAATCTCATACATTCAATTGTATATGTACAATTTCAATAATCATAAAAAGAGAAGAGACTTTAAGGAAAAACATGATATGCTTTCCTTGTCTGTCACTATGCTACGTTTTCTTTTCTCTGGATAAAGAAAACAAATAATGTGAAATAAGTTATTTTCATTATTTGTCTTTAGTAAGATAACACTTAACACTTTCTTTATACTAATAATAATTTGATTAATAAAAAAAGCAGGTTATAAAAGAAACATGATCCGACCTACAAAACGTGTGTGTGAATCTGCTGTTAATTATCACTTCCCACTCTGCTCACACCCACCTGTGTAGGTGTGAACGCACAGAAACAGCAGGGTGTTAGACAAGTGCTGCTTACACATACTTCACAGGCTGTGTAAACATCTCACTCCACATTTTAATCAAAATCTTCCCATCAAAGCTAACACAAGTACATATTTCAGTATAAGTGCAGAGCAAGTGTACCTTGTTGAAGTGTTCACCATCTGTAATCTGGGCAAATACATGTTTTGAATCGCACAATCCAGTTCTGTCAGTCCACCACTGTCTCAACAACAATTGAATGGATAGCCATGACTTCCTGAACATGCATACACTGTTCCCATATTTGGACCTTGGTCATGTCTATCTTACGGCTTTTTTGTCTTCTAGAAAACATGAACCTCACAAAGCTTCTCACTACTATATTTACCAAATGTTGCCCCCTTGCCTTCCACACTATACATCTTAGTGCCCTCAGTGGGTGCAGCCGACATACCCGCTGATATTTTGATGAAACTCTTCTGAACTGACCCTCCATCTGCTCGTAATGCTTGAAGGGTATGTCTTCAGTATGTCTTTTAACAGACTGTTTTCTGTCAGTCTGCTCGCCAGGTTCTCTTTCTCCTCTTCTGTTGATTGACAGGAAACTAGATTCAGTTTAATGGAGAGATGTTTCTTCCCTTTCATATTTGATGGGATCTTACAGATAATGGGTACCATTCTGAGAGGGAGCTAACCAAAATCAGCCCAGCATAAAATAGACAAAGCTTTTATCCCATGTGAGGTTGTATAAATCCAGACCTTTCGGACATTTGAAAAGCATTTTCGGAGAACTTCAGAAACCCTCAGAAGTATATGAGGTGATCACAGATCGTATGTTTGAAGATGACAGCCAAAGAGGATTCTGGACGCCAAAAGTGAATGTAGAAGGATGGCAAGCATTAAGGCAAATGTACAGTGGTGGAGTGTAAGAAAGAAAGGAAAGAGCCTTGGATATTAGGGATAAGATGGTGAAAGGGTAGATGGAAGATAATTGTGCTGTTGCAGCTACACGCCAACAAAACAAAGATTCAAAGATTAGATAAGTGTTGCAATGATTACTTGATTAGTCGATCAAAATCCACCGTGGATTACACATTTCCCTTTGTTGTCGGGTCTGACATTTGACATCTCATGGAGGAGTTTTTCTCTCATGGTCGGACAAGACTTTAATTCCTAATTAATGATGTCGTCACACTTAGCACCGACTGACCTTTACCCAAACTCTCTCGGTGTTTTTTTTCCTGGTACGGTCAGACCATATAAACATCATGGTCCCTGGTAGACCCCCACACATATAACAGCACAGACTATAACAACCCTTGTTGTGCAATTTTTTTTTAATTTTTTCTTTTTTATCTTTAATATATTTTAATGCATGCTTCTTGGGTAATATTAAGCTGTCTTTGGCTCTTTTCCTGCTGTAACAAATGCAAAAATCCCCTCTGTGGGATGAATAAAGGGATTCTGGTGTCCTCTCATTGTGCTTGGCTTCATACTGTCGTTTATTAGCTATTCACCACACATTACATTCGGGCCAAGAAATGGCCTTTCTGTCAAAAGAGACGGGAAAAGAGAAACAAAAGAGAGTTATTGTTTAAACTGTTTTTTATATAGAAATAACATCATTTAGCTTGTATTCTCAATGTAGCACTCTATTACTTGCCAATTCATCCACCATATTTTTCGGCTGAAAGTCGAGCAGTTAATGTAAGGTTGATAGGATCTAAAAACCTAATTTAAGATCTAATTAAGTATGTCTGATAGTAAATATTCCTCTCTCTGTCTGCAGCTGATGTGCTGGCCCAGGCTCTGGACAGTCTGCGCACCGAGCTGATGTCTGAGGAGAGCCGAGGCCTCTTCCTCCACTCTGGAGGCGTGTGCGTGCTGCTGTCGATGCTCCGGACCGGCCGTGGAGGGCTTCACACACCTGTGGACATCCTCATGCAGCTGGCTGAACAATCCCGTAAGTAGATATTTCAAATTCAAAGCAAATCACTGCCTACTATGCGATTGTTGATACAAATCCACACAACGGTGGTAAAGAAACCTAAACCTTCCAGTGCAGGGCAGACTTGACAGCACAGAAATGACTTTTTAGCTGTAGCTTAGTTTTAACATCTCCGTCTTCAAGTCTTTGAGAATAATTTTGATTCATAGCAGACATCTCAATTGAGTCTAAGGTATGGCTAAATCTCTCCAATGTTTCCTGTTAGGCTAACCATCTTGATGCGCATTGGTGCAAAAGATAGTTCCAGAATTTCTCAGAGATAGGATACTGTGAATATGCTTCCAGCCAGTTTTTACTATTTAAAACCTCATCATATAAAAAAGAATCACAGTGGAGTATTTTTGAAATACTTTAAACATGTCTGAGTACGAACTTGTACACTTCCTTAGGAAACGGCATGTAGTTGCTGTGGCCTCGAAAGCTGCTGTGATCCCTCTTCTAGCCCAGAGATTTACAGACAGTTTTTTTGTACGACTATTAACTTTGATTTATACCAGCTCCTCCTTCAGATTGACTCCATATCATCCCCATATAAAAACCACATGTGAAAGGTAACGGTTTGTCTGAGCTCACATCAATCATCGCTGGTCAGGCAAAAAAAAGGTTTAGAAGCTGTCAATAAACCTCGGACCTCCACCCGCCTCCTGGCCTTTTTTATAGAAAGACAAAAGACGAGAGCACAGCTGCAGGAGGTTCGCGGGGGTTATGAGCCGCATCATTTAGGGTTGCTACTGTAATGCGCAGCAGAACCACATGCTGGAGGTGACTTTGGCCGGAGCCGTGTGTGTGTGTGTGTGTGTGTGTGTGTACCTACAGTTGTGTGTTTTAAGGAGCTGTAATTCTGGCAAAACTTGCTAATTAGTGCATTTTACAAGCAGTAATGAGGAGAAACGGGGAAAGGGTGAGGCAGAGGGGGAGAAAGGTTTGCACCTGAAGGTTGCCAATAAAAGAAAACAAAACAAAAAGGTTAAGTTGTACACATAATACATGCACACACACACTTGCAGGACTTCTGTGGTCACACTGACAACTTATACACTTCAGTCTCATAGCAGTTACACAACACATCTCACAAACGGTGTTTACTGGCTCTGAACGATGTCTGGCAAACAGTGGGTACATTAACTACCACACTGCTGCATGCAGTATATTTAACTGTCATGGAAACATATGAATGTGCTTGGTGAGTGTTTGTGTTCTTTCCATGCTGGCCACAGTAATGAAGTGTTTGTTATTTGTTTTCATAGCTTTGCAGTTAAAAAGCCCTCCCTGACCTGTTAAACTACTTTAGGCAAGGACTGTTTACCCATATGTTTACCCCTATGCTGTAAACCTACAAAACCATGAGTAATATGTCTGTTTTTGATGTGTGAGTGTGTGTCCATCTCCATCTGTATCTGTGTATCCACATAAGTGTAGAATGTAGCACACAATAATAAGATAAAGAGCCATCAGAGGAAGCAGTATGAGCAAAGGTGCTGCACACATTTGTTAGATTCAATATGGCTTCTAATGAAACAAATAATAAAACCTATATGACAATAACCACATGAGTTTTGAAAAGATTCTCACTCAGGTCTGGAAGATTTTAAAACATTAAAGAAAGTTGTTAAAAAGAACGTTATTATTGAAATACACTATTAGCAGATATTTCCCTAAATATTCACTAGTCAGGAAATTTTAGTTACAGATGCAAAGAAAATAATAAGAAATAGTTCAAGACGAGGTGAAAGGATGTTATAACTGAAACTGACCAAACTATCCTTTCCTGCCTCATCTTTCATATCAGATTCTATCTTTCCTTATCTGAACCTGATCCCATCCTTCTCCGTCCAATCCTGTGCTGTGATTTGATGCCAGCAGAACTTCTGTACCAGCTTAAAAAAAAGTCCCTCTGTGGCTCAGATTGTATTCTCTTACCCCGGTGCACTACAGCGGAGAGTTAGTTTGAAAAGCAGCAGGAATGTGACTTTAGCAGAAACAAATGTTTGTTTACCAGGAATCCACAAATTGAAGGCATCGTGAGGTCCACATTTGCTTTGATTAAAAAATGTGCAGCTCCCATCTGTGTGGATAGATGCTGTTATCCTTTCACTGTTTCATCTCTGTGTTTGTGTGTGTGTGTGTGTGTGTGTGTGTGTGTGTGTGTGTGTGTGTGTGTGTGTGTGTGTGTGTGTGTGTGTGTGTGTGTGTGTGTGTGTGTGTGTTTCATCATAGAGTCTCTCTCACCAGCATCTGTGTCCCTGTTCCTGTCCAACTCACTCGATCGTTAAAAGTGTTTTCATGGTTTGCTTTGGCATCCCTGTATTTTCACTGCTATGTATCTCTGAAGTTGATAATTTCCGTCTTCTCAGAAGTTTTACCATAAAATGTAAATGTGTTGCTCGTTAGAGAAATTGTTTTGATGGTTTCTTTCTTTGCTTCTTCTTTATGTGCTTGTAGGCTACTTAAATCCCTTCCTTGAGGCGTGTAGCTGTGAAGAGTTTTTCCGAACGGCCGCCCAGCTTCTCAAAAACCCTCGTCTGGAGCTCCCGACGCTGGAGAAGCTCTCTGTCCTTCTGCAGAAGCTCTCCACCATCAGGTCGACACACTCATCTGCATACTGTAGATACAACACTCTGAACATGGGCATCTTGTCTCTGATCATGGTAGTAAATACCTGCATACTCCTGAGGATGTCGACATGGACTGATCCTTATCTGACCTACATAACCTGGGTCATAGATTTGACCTCCCTTATGAACATGAAACCTATATTCCCTTACTTTCTAGTCTTTGCCATAGATAAAAACAATGGTTCCCTAAAAAGCTACAAGTTTCAGAACCTTTCAAGAAAAAATCAAAGATAAAACATAAAGTTCTGCACTATGGTTCTACACCATGTTTTTTTAAATTTTCAATGATCTACCCTGTTGATTATCTCATGACCCCTCACATTTGTGGCCGTTTGTGAGTGTTACAATCCCCAGCTTGTGAAACCGCATGATTGTTATGTCAGCACAATCTTTCAGTTTGTTGTGGTCATAAGAAATCCACACCTTCACCATTTCCAAAAATCTTTATCGTGAATCTAGCAATGGAAATGTTGCTCTTATAAACTATGAAGAAAGTCCGTTGACCTCTTTGGTCCAGATTTGAATATCTCAACAATGGGATCGACATATACAGTGGGGCAAAAAAGTATTTAGTCAGCCACCAATTGTGCAAGTTCTCCCACTTAAAAAGATGAGAGAGGCCTGTAATTTTCATCCTAGGTATACCTCAACTATGAGAGACAAAATGAGAAAAAAAAAAATCCAGAAAATCACATTGTCTGATTTTTAAAGACTTTATTTGCAAATTATGGTGGAAAATAAGTATTTGGTCACCTAAAAACAAACAAGATTTCTGGCTCTCACAGACCTGTAACTTCTTCTTTAAGAGCCTCCTCTGTCCTCCACTTGTTAAATGTATTAATGGCACCTGTTTGAACTCGTTACCAGTATAAAAGACACCTGTCCACAACCTCAAACAGTCACACTCCAAACTCCACTATGGCCAAGACCAAAGAGCTGTCAAAGGACACCAGAAACAAAATTGTAGACCTGCACCAGGCTGGGAAGACTGAATCTGCAATAGGTAAGCAGCTTGGCGTGAAGAAATCAACTGTGGGAGCAATTATTAGAAAATGGAAGACATACAAGACCACTGATAATCTCCCTCGATCTGGGGCTCCACGCAAGATCTCACCCCGTGGGGTCAAAATGATCACA